TGGGGTATGTGTGTGTGTGTGTGTGTGTGTGTGTGTGTGTGTGTGTGTGTGTGTGCACGTATTTGTGTGTGTGTTCAGACAGAGAGCTCTTTGTGTTGAAGTGACTCAGACTCTGTAATTTACTTTCATTCTGGTTGCAGCCTCCTCCTCCTCCTCCTCCTCTCTCAGCTCCAGTCAGGATGTAGTCACCTCCGTCTCCATGGAGATGTGGGCCTCCCTGTTGCCATGGTTATTGTGTTTGCTGCTCCCCCTGCCCTCTGACTGTCAGACGATGACCTCCTCCTCCCCTCCGTCCGACACCTCCCCGTTCTCCACCCTGCTGTTCCACGGAGGCTCCCTAGGTTCTGGCCTGAGGAACTGCAGCTGCTCGGTTCCGGTCCGCGACTGCGACGAGGCACTGGCCAACACTCGGTGCCGGTGCCACTCGGTGCTGCGCACCTCCCTTCAGCGGCTCCGGCAGGAGGGGATTCTGACGGTGTGGGTGAAGGAGCCGTGGGTTCTGGAGGAGGTGCTGAACATCAGCACAGTGGAGCATCTGCGCTTATCCTTCTGTGGACCGGATCGACTCCAGAACCAGCAGCTGGTCCTGCTGGGTCTGCAGACTCTCAGAATCCACAGCTCTGCTCCAGGAGCTCCTCACCCGACCCAGGAGGTCCAGGTTCTCCCCTCAGCAGGGCCCGCAGCAGAACTCCACATCACCCTGGTGGATCTCAGTGTTCTGAACGGTCTGTCGGTTCTGAAGGCCTACAGCGTGATCGGACCTCCTCCTCAGACCTTGGCCCAGTTCTTGCCCCACCTGGTCTTCAGTCAGCCGTCCCCTGCTGACGGTCCATTCACTGACCGGGTCCCACCGGGCCCTGCTGCAGGTTCTGCTCCACAGAGAACCCTCCTGACGTTTGTGTACTGATGATCCTGAAGGTCCAAACTTCTCCTGGTTCTGTTCTCTGCAGGGTAATCTGCGGAAGAGGATTAGGGCCATAGTGCACTCATTTAATTTTCCTTAATTCTGAGATTAAAGTCTGAATACTGAGATTAAAATCTGAATTCTGAGACTGAAATCTGAATTCTGAGATTAAAGTCTGAAATCTGAGATTTAAAAAAGTCAGGAATTGGATTCTTGACTTTAATCTCAGAATTAATGGGAAAAAAATAAGTTTTTTTTGTGCACCGTTTCCCTAATCCTCTTCCGTAGTAATCTGTTAATCTGTGTTGGAGTATCTTATTTTTGACGTGAACCTGAAGGATCGGCTGCTGTTTGTTTAGTTTGGATCCAAAGTCCTGCAGGACTTCAGAGTTCTGTTCCTGTATTTCTACAGAACTGTTCTGGTCTCAGTTTGGTTCTGTAGCACGTTCCTAACAACAGAACGTGGACCTTTAAACCCCACACTGGTTCTGTTTGGGTCACCATCAGAACCAGTGATTTTAAAGTTCCCTCCATGTTTGTTGTTTTGTTTTAGTACCGACACGTTCTACGTTCTTCCTGTTGAAACGTGGGTCAGCTTCTATAAACCTTTGCTTCCGCAGGTCCTCAGTCCGTTTGTTTTCATCTCTGACGAAGTCTTCTGGATTAAAGACGAAACGTTTCAACTTTTTTTTTTTATTATTTTAACTTTTTGCACCCGTCCAGAGGACCTGACTTAACTTTGTTAGATCAAGTCCGTTTGAATCCGTCCATTCTGGACTGTTTTCCCATGGGTAGAGGACCTGGGACTGAGAACCTGAGAACCAGGGACGTGCTGAGCTGTTTGTCTCTTTGAAGACATGTCTTTGTCCATCTTTTCAGCAGTTTGTGTTTTTAGAGACGTTTGTTTTCACAACAAGAATATTTATTGTATGAATATTTATGAAGCTTTCACTCTATTATGATCTATTTTTATTCCGTACATTGTTCGGCATCTTTCTCATCCCTTCAGCTATTCCATCAAATCACAAATCAAAACGTTCAGCTCTTTCAGGACAATCCTGCTATGACTTTTGGTATTGGTGCAACTTTAGCTTTTTGAAATATTTAGCCTTTTCTGCCATTTTTTTTCTTCATAGAAAATGAACTGAGCTCATTTTACCTCCTTCAAATCTTTAGATCTGTTCACAGCCTTTTACTGCTCCTTTCACATTTTGTTCTGCTTCAGCTACTTTCAGCTAATTTTAACTGTTTTATGATCCTTTTAGATTATTTTGCTAACTACAGTTTTGTACTTCTAACTTCTTTATGCTCCTTTCAGCTTATTTCTGCTAATTTCAGCTTTTTCCTGATATTTCAGCTACTATTTAGCTGTTTTATGCTAATTTCAGCTTTTTCTGCTAACTCCACATTTTTTGCACTCATTTCAACTTTTTCGGCCAAATTCAGCAAAAATGTCTTCTCCCTTCTGCTAATTTAAGCTTCTGATATTTTTGGCTACTTTACAGCTGTTTTTTTTTTTGTTGTTGTTGCTAATTTCAGCTTTTTTTCCAGATAATTTCCACCTTTTTGTGCTCATTTCTGCTTCTTTCAGCCTAAATGAGCAAGTATGTGTTCTTTCTGCTTTCTTCTACTAATTTAAGCTTGTTCTACCTTTTAAGCTAGCTTTTTAGCATTTTAAGCTAATTTTAGCTGTTTTCAGATAAATTCAAGTTTTCCGTGTTGATTTCGGCAACTTTCAGGCTAATAAACTCCTTTATGCTAATTTTAGTTTGTTATGCTGCCTTCAGCTTTTATCAACTAGTTTCAGTTTTTCTGCTCTTTCAGTTACTTTTTATTTCTTTTGATGCTAATTTTAGCTTTTTTCAGCTCATTCCACATTTTTAGTTCATTTCAGTTCTTTCCATTTCCTTCTAGTAGGTTAAGCTTCTTTCTGCCTTTTCAGCAATTTTTTTTGCTAATTTCAGCCTTTTCAAAATTTTTTAACAAATGTTCTAATTTTTGTGCTATTTTCTACTTATTTAAAACTTAATTAAGGAAATATGTTTTCTTTCTGCTTACGCTTGCTCTTCCATTTCAGCTGCATTTTAGATTTTTTTAGTTAATTTCAGCTGTTTTTCAGCTAGTTCTTCTGCAGTAAGCATTCACACTATTTTTGCAGGAAATGCAATTTCTATAGTTATTAATAAATTAATCTCAATAATCAGTCAACAAAGGGCTAAAATCAACCACGCTGACCTTCATCCTTCAACTGATCGCTAACAGTATCAGAATGATAGCTAAAAGCTAACATTAGCAGGAGGGTAGCTAAAAGCTGTAAGTATCATAAGAAGACAAACAGAACAGCAGCTGAAGCAGATTTGTCAGAGAACAGAGAGATCTGACCGTGTTTGTGTGATAAATATTTGTAAATAAAGTTAAATATTTTGAAGAATATAAAAGCTAATATTCGCAGCAGCCACCTCCTGAATGAGCCGAATGTTTTCGGCTAAAACAGCCCAAAGAAGTCAGATAAACGCTGACTCAGCGTTGGTTCAGACTCTGAGGTTTGTTTCTGGTTCTGGCCCAAACCTCTCAGAAGTTTTTTTTAAATTCTTTGTTATGTAATGTCCTGTTCCAAACATCTGTGTTCTTTGTGCTGCACCTGCTGGACCGAACCGGGTCGATCAAAACAAGATGTTCTGTGGCAGCAGCTGATACTCTGAATGCTGCTGGAACCCGTCCAGAACCTTTAGAGCCTCTTAAACTGCAGACTGCTGGGATTCCTGCACAAACTCTTCCTGCACGAGGAAAAAAGAACCCATCAGAACAGAAAACAGAACCGAGGGCCGGAGTGTTGGACCGAGGGGACCCAGTAGGACTTCTGATCCAGCTGCTTTTATTGACCACAGATAGTCCAACAAACAACAGGAGGACAGAACTTACAATAAATGTCCCCATCTATGGATCAAAACAAGGACTCTGAACTGGATCAGTTCTGGCCCAGTTAGGGAAGTTCTAGGGAGGAAACAGGAAGTAGAACCTCTCTCTCTGGATGGAATCCAGTCAGTTCTGAAACGTGTTTTTATTTCTAAAGCTTTGGCTTCCAAACTTTGATCAAACGTCTGAAAATAAGTCTGGTTCTGGTTCCAGCTCATGTTCCGACACTGATGACAAACAGAACCTTTCAGAACCGGCATTTTAATAACAAAACATGAGGCGTCAAATTTAAGCATCTTGGATTCATGCATTTAAAACTTTTAAGACTAAATTAGACCAAAACTTATTCTTTGCCTCATGAGTCAAAGTTTGTGATTCCAGAACCAAGCCCAATCAAACCGAACATAAGTTCATTCAACCTTTATTTATACCGGTTAATCCCATTGAGCCTCGGGGACTCATTTACAAGAGAGACCTGAATTTTAAAAGAGAAAGGTAAATTATTTCAAAACCCAAAAACAAAAAAAGATTAAAAGCTGACAAAGGACAGTTTACACATCACGGTTCATCAGGGAGCCAGTTTGTGACAGCATGCTAACAAAAACCATGCAAACTGCAATAAGTTAGCATGCTAAGTGTGCTAACCATAGGTAGCATATATTATTATACATTTATATGATATCTATGGTGCTAACACTGTGTTAGCAAGTGTAAACAGGAAATGAAAGGACAAAACAGGAAGTTCCTTCTTAGGTCAGTTTTGAGTCAGCTGTTGTTGTTTGGGTTGGACTTGAGAAAAAATAAAAGCAACACCACGTGTTGTGTTTCTGCGTCAGATCATTTAAAATACATGCAGGCTTTGTTGTGTTTCTGGGTTTATTTTTATTTTCATTCAACCTTTATTTATACAGATTAATCACATTGAGCCTCGGAGACTCATTTACAACTGAGACCTGCTCATTATTATTATTATTGTTGTTTGTTTTGTTTATTATCTGTTTATTTTATTTGACCACCTGTAAGAAAAATAAAACCTGAATTATGATTTTTTTTCTTCTTCTTGTTTTCATCAGAAGCTGTCGACTTGTGTGTTAAATACGAACGTTGTCTCTTTGTTTTGTCCAATTTTTTTTTCTTTAAATAAAACTCAGATTATAAAACTCAGATTATAAAACTCAGATGCATTGCATGCAAACATTTAATATTAACAACTGCAAAAATATAAGAACTTCAGCAATAAAAGCTCATCAGCAACAATAAAATAAATGCAGTTACAAGATATCCATCCATCATCTTCCTCTTGTTCTGAACTCAGGTCTCGGGTGCAGCATCTTGATCATGGAGGTCCAGACATCTCTTTCCACAGCCTCCTCTTCCAGCTCTTCTGGGAGGACTCCAAGGAGTTCCCAGGCCAACTGAGAGACGTGGTCTCTCCAGCGTGTCCTGGGTCTTCCCTGGGATCTCCTCCCAGTCAGACATGCCCGAACCACCTCAGCTGGCTCCTCTCGATGTGGAGGAGCAGCGGTTCTTCTCCAAGTCTCTCCTGGACAACTGAACTTCTCACCCTGTCGCTAATGGAGAGTCCAGCTACCCTGCAGAGGAAACTCATTTCAACCGCCTGTATCCATGATCTCATTCTTTTGGTCACTACCCAGAGTTCAAGACCAGAGGTGAGGGTAGGAACGTAGACCAACTGGTAAACGGAGAGCTTTGCCTTACAGCTCAGCTCCCTATTCACCACAACGTACCGGTACAGGGTCCACAATACTGCAGATGCTGCACCAATCCGTCTGCCAATCTCACACTTAATTCTTCCTTCACTTGTGAACAAAACCCAGAGATACTTGAACTCCTCCACTTGAGGCAGAACCTCGCCCTCAACCTGAAGAGAGCAATCCACCCTTTTCCGTTTGAGGACCATGACCTCAGATTTAGAGGTGCCGATTCTCATCCCAGACGCTTCACACTCGGCTGCGAGCCACTCCAGTGAGAGCTGAAGATCACGGCACGATGACGCCAACAGGCCCAAATCATCTGCAAAGAGCAGAGAAGGAACCCTGAGGCCACCGAACCAGACTCCCTCCTCCCCCTGGCTGCACCAAGAAATTCTGTCCATAAACGTTATGAACAGAATCGGTGACAATGGGCAGCCCTGGTGGAGTCAACTCCCACCCTGAAAGAATCCGACTTACTATCAGCAATGTGAACCAAACTCTTGCACTGGTTGTATAGGGCCTGAACACCTTGTAGCAACAGGCCCTCAATCCCATACTCACGGAGCACCCCCCACAGTTGTACCCTAAGGAATATGTTTGAATGTCTTCTCTCCAAGTCCACAAAGTACATATAGACTGGATGGGCAAACTCCAATGACACTGCAAGAGCCCTAGTGAGGGTCAACCTCAGCCACGGTTATGGACAGACCAACCCCGAAGTCCCCCCGACTCAATTTCCTCCATGGAAGACAAGATTGAGAAGGTCCGAGAAGCATTCCTTCCACCTCTCACTGACATCACTGCTTGAGATCAACAGCACACCTTCACTGAACATCGTGTTCGTAAAACGCTGCTTCCCTCCTCAGCCTCCCGATGGTTTGACAGAATCTCCTTGGAGCCAACAGAGAGTCTCTATCCATAAAACAGGATGAATTAGTTAAGAAAGAAAGAGAGAAAACTTTTAATATCTGTTGTCACGATATGATTCACTTAGCTGTGTAAGGTTAAAATGAAGGTTTTAAAAGCCACAAGTGAATGTTTTTATGAATCTGTTGCTCCTCCTGGAGGACAGCCATGTAAACAGGTCACTGGTGCCCATATCCAGCAGTCACTGTGCGAGAGTCTGAGGACACCTGGACAGGTCTCCAGTCCATCACAGGGACACATAGAGACAAACAACCATTCACTCTCTCACTCACACCTAGGGACAATTTAGAGTTACCATGGTTTTGGTCTGTGGGAGGAAACTGGTGTACCTGGAGAAAACCCACGCACGCACAGAGAAAACATGCAAACTCCACACAGAAAGGCCCCCGGCTGGGATTTGATCTGGTGACCTTCTCACTGTGAGGCAACAACTCTACCAACTGAGCCACAATGCCGCCCGTGTATTAAATCAGCAGACATTATTTTTTACTTCCACATTTAAACAGTGTGTTGCAGAAATCTCCTTCCAATATGTCAAATTAAAGGTTTCATATTTCTAGCTGTAAAAGTTGGTTTTGTTGGTCTTCAGTTATTGAGGTCATGAGGATTAAAATAATCCATAATCCATTAAAATACATCCATCCATTATCTTTTACCCGCTTCATCCATTTTGGGTCACGGGGGTCGCCGGTGTCCATGTCCCATTAAAATACATGTCAATGGTTAAAACAAATTAATTATTTTATTTATTACAGAAAAGAGGAACAAATGTAACACAAAGTGAATGTTAATTTATTATTTTTATGATAATTTGAAAGTGTAAAGTTTTTAAAATAACAGGACTGATTTATGTCGAAGCAACTAAAAGGCTTTTAAATTAAACATTCAATGTAATTTAAAAATTAGAAGCAGAGCAAAGGCTGATGGGCTTTAATGACGAATGGGGGGGGGGGGGGGGGAATGAGATCAAAAACAATTTAGGAGCTGAATCTGTCGCTGCACACTAACATTTACGGAAATACCTAGACTGTTAAAAAAAATCTAAATATTACTATTTAATCATTTTATTTTTTACACTTACTTACTTTCATAAATAAATATTTTACAGTTGCACAGTAAATATTACACCTGCTTATGTAAATATGACTTTATAAACTTGTTTTTGGTCAAGTAAAGCATGTCTATGAGGTAAAGGCCATATTTATGTCTGTGATAAATGCTGCAGGTCCTGTAACCGGATGTTAAAGCTCTTATTGTGAAGGTGAAGTCGGAAGTAGTTGCGTCTGAGTCGGATTGTGAAACTTCCGGTCCGGTCTCAGGGAGGGGGCGGAGCTAGAAACAAAGTTCAGGATCTGTCGTAAAGTGATTTCGTTTTTCGTTCTGCGGTAAGTCAGAGTCATATGACTGCTTTTATTTGTTGTTTGTTGTTTGTTTTTCTTGTTTTGGAGCTAGAAGTGTTGTCGGTTAGTGAATGTAGCTGAATGTTACCTGGAACATTCGTGTTGTTTGTTTTACCTGCTCAGGTTCGGACCTGGCTCCTCCGTTCGGTTCGTTTTATCTTACATAAATAAATACATTATGTTTAAGATTAAATTCATAACAAAAACATATTTTTAGTGTTCATTCTGTAGAAATGTCCTCAAAGACAGAGACAGACGCTGGACCTGCCTGAGGACAGATCCCAGGACTGATTGTGATGTCCAGTTTTTCTGTCCTGGTTCTGGTTTTACAGCTCAGTTCAGGTAAGCTTCAGTGCCCCATCCGGACAGGTGTGTCTCTGCACCTGTCCCCCTGACTGTCCCCCTCACTGTCCCCCTGACTGTCCCCCTCACTGTCCCCCTGACTGTCCCCGCAGCTCTCGGTTCTCTTCCTGCTCCGGTCAACCTTAAAGTCAAGTCTGTCAACTTCCACCATGTCCTCCACTGGGACCCGGGGCCCGCCAGTCCCCCGGGGACACACTACATGATCTTCCAAAGGTGAGTCCAAAAGCTCCCGTCTGCAGGACAAAGGACACAAATAAATGTAAAATGTAAACAAAATAAATACATTCAGAAACTAAAGACAACAAATAAAAAAGACAAGTGCATACAAATGAAGACAAATACAAAATAACGACAAAATAAAGATGAGTAAATATAAAAATAAAGACGAGTAAATACAAAATATCAAGTACAGTACATACAAAGTAAAGACAAATAAATACAAAATAAAGGTGAGTACGTCTCTCTCACTGTGTTTTTTTTTTTACCTTTCTTTCCTCATGTTTTTCTTTTCTTATCTCTGTTTGAAAGGTCAAACTTCTTCAAACTACTTTTGTCTTTTTTTTAAGTTCAGTGAGAGAAAGGACAGATTTCCTCCACGATGACTCAATTAAATCAAATCAAATAATATTTTTAATTCTTCAACAGTTCCTCTGAAACCTGATAACAACCTGAATGTGGTCCTGGAGTCCCCCATCAGTCTGAGGGGGACTCCCCCAGCTTTTATTAAAGTTTTTATTTTATTAACTGACACATTTCAAGAACTCGTTTGTCCCTTGTGCCATTAGGCTGTGTAATTCGTCCACTCCTGGCAGGAACAAGAGAAGCTATCTGGTTATGTCTCCTAACATAGTTGTTGCTTATATCCTCTTTTATCGTTTTATTTATTTATTTATTTATTTAATACTCCCTTTTTTATCTGGTGGGTTTTTATCTTGTTGTTTGTATGAATGGAGCTATAGACCACTACATAATTCTCTTTGGGATCAATAAAGTATCTATCTAATCTATCTAATTATTTTATCAAATCTATCCATTTCCTCTTTCAGACTCAGGCAGCAGTTAGTTTTTCATCTTGAGTTGATCAGGAAGTGGCTCCAAATAATTTTTTACCAAAACAAACATCTCACAGAAAAATCAATCAAAAAGTCTGTTCAGAGTCGATTTAAACTGCTTTTCTTTTAAACAGCAGCTTTCATCCTCAATAAAACAAATAAAAAGGTGATAATTTAGTCCCATCGTTCTCATAAACATAAAATTTCTTATCTTTTATCAACGTAAAGTTTTTGATATTTTATAAATGTTTCTGGTCTTTTATAAACGTAAAGTTTCTGGTCTTTTATAAACGTAAAGATTCTGGTCTTTTATAAACGTAA